ACACACACACACACACACACACACACACACACACACACACGGACACACAAGCTCTGGCGTGAGCAGAAAAACGTGACACAAGCTTATAAAAACATCCTGAATGAAAACACATTGCAAAATGAAGACTGCATTCCACATCGCAACAACATTCAACGAAAGAAGATCATCAACAATAAAGGGAAGCCTTCCAAGGTTTCCAACGAGTTCAGTTCTTAATAAAAGTAGATGGAAGCTCAATCGCCATCCTTCGTAGACCCCCTCACCCCCCGCTAAACCCTCAATTGCGCAACCAACGACTTCCCTTCATTAAACCTACCACCAAACTCAGTCTTCACCACTGCTGTGTGGAACAACAACTACGAGTTCCACACGCCGCCGATTACCACGAAAACGACAGACACTCACTTCGACTAATGTTCAGTTAACCACTTGTGTCGCTGAAACAGCACTGCTACATACATGACGGCAGAATGGAAATACCGTGAAAAAAACGGCAGTGAGGATCGACCATCTACGGCACAACTGCTACACGTTGACGTGAAGACGACAACCTGCCGGATGAGTGCTCCGAACAACCCCGGGGAAGAAAGCACATTGTGCTTGACGACGACCAAACAAACTTCCGGACGGCTGCACACTGGGAGGGCTTCAGTGTCGTGTTTTCTGACCACCTTCAGTGGATACGGGAGGGCGTGCCTCCCTATCGTTCCTGGCGCATCATCTCTTCGGTGCCTCCCCACTTCAGTGTGCTCCGATGTGTCGCCGCATCACGACCTTCTTCAACTCTCCACTCCCACAACCACCCATCCTCACTGCGCACCCATCCTCTCCGCCAACGCATCCCGCAAAATGAGTGCGTCCCCGGTCGACGACTCCATGCAAACAGGATGCAGCGGCGCATGCATGCCCAGATCCACCCTGCGTCGGACGCCATCCGGACCGACCTCCCACAACAGGTTGTCGTCGAAGGGAATGCCTGCGTCGATCAGTATGTTGTGGAGAATAAACACCGCGATGAACTGTTGCGGCAACGTGTCCATGTTGCACTTGTGCGTGCGCAGCAATAACCTCCACATGCCCTTCAATCTTCCAAACGCCCTCTCTACCGCTCCCCTGGTCGTCTTTTGCTTGTTGTCGAACCGTGCCTCCGTGGGATGCTACGCGAGACCTCCATACGGGACGACAATCCTTTCCGACTGGGGATAGTCGTTGTCGCCGAGCAAGTATCCATTTGTTCGAACACCGAACGCCAGCATGACATGCGGGTCAGTGAAAAGTTGTCCAGACTCCACGCGCTCCCACAAACTGGACAGATGTAACATCCTCATGTCATGCACGCTGCCAGGGTAACCGACGAAGACGTCCAGCACACGCAAATTCATGTCGACGACAACCTGCACCTGCACAGAGAATTGCCTCTTCCGATCACAGTAGTCCTCCCCATTCGCGTTGGCGGGTTTGTCCACGTAGATGTGGGTGCAGTCGATGCACCCGTGGCAATTTGGAAATCCCTTGTCTGCAAACGCGCGCAACACGACCACCTTGTCCAAGCCAGTGGGCCACGATATCTTGTCCGGGTCCGCATCAAGCAAGGCAGCGGTAACGTCTCGGACCGCCGTGATGCCATAAGCCCTCCCGATGCCGAAGCTGCACGTTCCGCTTTCGTAGGTCTCACCCGACGCCCACCTATAAAGAGCGTACGCCACGATGTGATCCGGCTGCAAAGGCACTCTATAAAACGTCACACGCCGTTGCAGGTATGGAGAAAGCGTTTCCGCGATTTCGCGGAAGACACGTGGCGACATTCGGAGCTTGTATCTGAAGTAGTCGTCGGTGGCATCGTCGCTTTGGCGCAGGTCCTCCCATGTTCCTCCCGTCCGCCACTTCATCCACCATCTTGGAGTCGCCCTCGGAAAGGCGCCGCACCCCAACGCGTAGCACACCTGGAGGACGGCGTTCGAAAGTGCTCCCAGGTCCAAGCCTTCACTGCTGCTCGCCAGTGCCGTCACCTTCCGTCGCGCGCGAGCAGCTGCTTTCATCTTTCCCGCGGTTCTCTCCAACTGACAACGATAGAGGACGACATTCACCGCCGCAGCGATAGCCGTCCTCTCATCTATCGTTAAAGCACGACCCCTGACAATGCCGTCAATAACCATCCCGGACGCCTCTTCCATCGACGACAACGAAACCCACGTCAACCGCTAAAACTCCGCAAACACCGCCACGCGAAACGACGATATCCCGCCTCCGTGAAGAAACGTGGACGCCACCACTGCGAACGGCAACAAGCTACGGCGATGGCGACCTTGAATGCCGACAACGTATGGTCATCCACCGGAAGGCATGCGCACACTGTACAGTCGAAGGCGATCAAACTGACGTCTCGTATGTATACGCCAACAGCCCCCCCCCCCCCGCCCTCTTCCGCACGCCTGACGTCCGTCGCCCGCCTCCACTCGCACGCGCACATTTCGAATTTTCAAATTTTGAAATCGTCCCTTGCGCGCCTTCCCGAAGGCCCTTTTTTCTTTTCGAACGACGTCATTTCTTGGACGGCGGCCCGAAAAGCTAGACCACGGCAATCCAGACGGACACAAATGAAGACCAGTCGTTGTAACCACACCCCGCGGCTGTTAATACGCATATTAATCTGGTCGTGGGAGCCCCGAGGAATCGTCCTCGGGGGACGACTCCGAGGATGAGTGGAACGAAGGCGTCAAAATCCCCGAACCACTCCGAGGAATCGTCCTTGGGGCCCAAGGAAGCCCTGAGGAGTGTCGAACGAGCCCCTATGAAGTCGAGAATGTGAGAAGAAAGTTAAGTTTTGTGTAATCTAAGCTAAACCGGCTGATGCTGTCGGGATAGCTCCGGGTTGAATTGTGAGGTCCCAGGCCTCGTCAATTTCATTTGGAATATGCATTACTGTCTGAGGCAAGGTTGCCGGCGTTCAGGACGGGCCGAACGCCCGAACGTACGGGACCCCTTCGGAACGCATTCGACCGTTCGGGCCGAACACGAACCAAAAAAAAAAAAAAAAAAAAAAAAAAAAA